CGAACACCCTCCAGGTAGGCAGGTAGACCCCCCTATAACGCTCTTGCCTTGTCAGGACAGTATGGTTCTACTCTCAAATGGTGTCAACAAGAATGGCAGAGCGAGTTTTCAAGGCAAGTTTTAATTCTGGCATTTCCCTCAGTGCTGAGCTTCAATATTAAGGTCAACAGACTTTGTAATCTTAAAATTGATTTTATCGTAGTTACTGAGACTTTATTAAATGTAATAACAGTATTGACACATCTACAAATTAGATTACTTTTCTAAGAACACCAACAAATCTTAGATGGGTAAAGATTTCACAGCGTTCAACGATCTTTTAAGCTGTATAAAAAAAAACTTTTAAGGTATAAGGCACCTAAAATAAATCTCATAACAGGAATTTCCCTCAGAGTGCTCCGCTGGGCCATTAAAAGAGGAGGGAGAGAGGAGCCTTTAATAACAAAGGTCCTTGTAAGAGCAGCAGGAACATGTGAGGGGCGAGTTTAATGGCCCAGTTACCGCGAGTGGGATAAACAACGTACAAGAGGCCGCCTCCTCCCTCGACCACTGACCACTCGCTCCATCCCATAGTCCTTACCTACCTCTCACCAACTCTTGTTCTTCACTAAACTAACTAATGGTCCTTCCCTATGTTACACTAACTTACGGTAATTCACTAATTCATAATAATCTTTCACTATCTGCATCTGGTTCTGCCTAACACGTATCCGTCGACATTCGTCAACACAGCTTCACGTTCCTCCAGCATCAGATCTGCATCAAAGCTCGGGCAAAGTTTTCCCTGTCTCCCACGAGTAGTGGATTACCCCAGCATCCCTCCTACCCAAAAATCTACCTGCTGCTAAGACCCTACACAGGAAGCTTCCACAATATTATAGTGATACTGAGTGTGCGTGCGTGTAAATTATAAAATTCCACATTATCAAGAGCTCAAAATGTTTGAAGAAGAAAGATTATCAATCACTTGGAATAGCAGTTAGATAATTACGACGTGATCTTATGTGCACTTGACAAGCAAAATGCAGATGTTTTATGCACTGACTTCGCAAAAACCTTTGACAAGTGCGACCAAGGAAAACTGGGAAGGTGGGCAGATGGATATTTGTCTTCCTAACCAACAGAACCCAAAGAGTAATAGTAAACTTAGTGAAATTAGGGGCTGCTACAGTGAAAAGTTGTCCCCCTAGACACAGTACTTGCCTCTCATTTCTGACAGACAGGGACATAAAGCACTTATTATTTTTTGCAGACGATACTCAAGTTTGCATGAAAATGCCATCCATAGAAGACACAGCGAGTTTCCAAGCTGATATAAACCAAGTCTTCCAGTGGGCTACTGACAGACAATAATGTGATGTTCAAAGAGAATAAATTTGCTGCTACTTCGTGAAAGAATGACGGAAATATCAGTACAAGAAAAACTCAAGCTTCTCAGTAGAACGCAAGTCAAATGTGAAAGATCTGGGAGTAATAATATCAGAAGATCTCACGTTCAAGGAGCGTGTCATTATCGCAACTGGAAGAAAAATGATAGGTTGGATAACTGGAACCTTCAAAACCAGAATTGCCAGGCCAATGATGACACGCTTCAGGTCACTCGTTTTTCTAGGCTGGAGTATTACTGTGTACTGACGACCCCAGGCAATGAAAGCAAAATTGCTGAGCTACGATGCTCTGCCTACAGTGTGTTCTGGGAGTCAACGCCCTCGAGGCTTTGTTCAAGATCAGGCCTCCCTGTAGATCAGGGCCTGATCTACCAGGCTGTTTTGCCGCACGTAATTAAGCAAGTTTATTCAGGTATACACAAATACAGTTACATAGATTATCATACATAGCAGCATATGTGTAGAGAACCTAGGATAACCCAGTTCAACGTATGGAGCCACAGCTCGGCTGGGCAGGTACTGAATATGTATCTGTATAGCCGGGGGTCTATTGGTAATCCTCATGTATGCTGAGAGGTTATTAACAGTCGTGGGCTCCTGGCACTTACTGTGTTAATTCTTAGTGTACTCATGGCACCCCTACTTTTCATAGGAGATATGTTGCACCGTCTGCCAAGCATTTTGCTTTCGTAGAGAGAGATTTGTGTGTGCAGATTTGGGACCAGTCCCTCTAGAACTTTCCAGGTGTAAATTATGATGTATATTTCTCACATGCATTCCAAGGAGTATATGCCAATGGACTTCAAGCAATTTCGCTTATATTGAAAAGGGCTGTTAGCAAACAGTCAAGCACCTAAATTACTAATTGTTTAAAGTCCCTAGAACTGTACTCTTCGGAACGTAGGCGAGAAAGATGCATCATAATCCACACCTGGAAGATAACAGAAGGATTGGTCTCAAACCTATAAGCTGAGATAACAGCATATGAACAGAAGAGGCTTGGCAGACGGTACAGGATACCTCCAACGAAAAACAGGGGAGAAATGAGTGCACAGAACTTCGTAAGCGTTAAGGGACCACAGCTCTACAACACTTCCCTCCCTTCATGCACAAGGGAAATCACCAACAGACCCCTAGTTGTCTTCGAGAAGGAACTAGTCCACTAAATAATTCCTGATCAGCAGGGTTGTGGTGCACACGTTGAACTGCGTTCGGCGGGCACTAACAGCTTGATCGATCAGGCCAGCAACCAGGAAGCCTGGTCTGGGATCCGGCCGCGGGGGGTGCTGATCAACAGAATACCCTCCAGGTAGACAAGCCGATACTGTCAACTACCTCCCAGAATAAATAAGGGATGGAAATAAATGGTATCAAAATACCGACACAGTGGAAATATAAACACATATGCAGTATAATGTGATCCTTTATTGACAACGTTTCGCCCACACAGTGGGCTTTTTCAAGTCACACACAGATCTGTGTGTGACTTGAAAAAGCCCACTGTGTGGGTGAAACGTTGTCAATAAAGGATCACATTATACTGCATATGTGTTTATATTTCAATAAATAAGGGATGCTGAAAATGGTATTAAATACCGAAAGTTGACTAGTAAGACATGTGAACAGTTAGGTACCTTCATTGTTGGAAAGTTTCTGAAAGAAACCCCTCTCGCGTGCCTTTAAGTACACTATGGAGGAGGAGCTTGGACATGGGTGAAATTCCACAGTCACTTAAAACGACGGATATAGCCCCACTCCATAAAGGTGGCAGCAAAGCATTAGCTAAGAACTATAGACCAATAGCTCTGACATCCCACATCATAAAAATCTTTGAAAGAGTGCTAAGAAGAAGGATTGCAAATCACCTAGATTCCCAAAATCTGCACAATCCAGGGCAACATGGGTTCAGGGCAGGTCGCTCCTGCCTCTCACAACTACTGGATCACTATGACATGGCCTTGGATGCACTGGAAGAAAATCAGAATGCAGATGTAATATACACAGACTTTGCAAAAGCATTTGACAAATGCTATCATGGCGTAATAGCCCATAAAATACGTGCTAAAGGAATAACTGGGAAAGTGGGGAATGGATCTTGAACTTCCTAACAAATCGAACACAAAGAGTAGTGGTCAACAGAGTTAAATCGGAGGCTGCCATAGTGAAGAGCTCTGTTCCACAAGGCACAGTACTCGCCGCCATCTTATTCCTCATCCTCATATCAGACAGAGATATACATCACAGCACCGTATCATCCTTTGCGGATGATACTAGGATCTGCATGAGGCTGTCATCTGCTGAGGACGCGGTTAACCTCCAAGAAGATATAAACAATATGATGTTCAATGAGGACAAATTCCAACTACTCCGTTATGTAAAACTGGAGGAGATAATAACTAGAACAGAGTATACTACTGACTCTGGCCATACAATAGAGCGGAAAAATAATGTAAGGGACCTGGGAGCAGTAATGGCTGAGGATCTCACTTTCAAGGATCACAACAGTGCCACGATCGCACGTGCAAAGAAAATGATAGGATGGATAATGAGAACATTCAAAACGAGAGATGCCAAGCCCATGATGATCCTTTTCAAATCACTTGTTCTCTCTAGGCTGGAATACTGCTGTACATTAACATCTCCATACAAAGCAGGTGAAATCGCAGATCTAGAGAGTGTACAGAGATCCTTTACTGCACGTATAAGTTCTGTCAAGCACCTTAACTACTGGGAACGCTTGGAAGCACTTGACTTGTACTCGTTGGAACGCAGGAGGGAGAGATATATCATAATCTACACTTGGAAAATCCTGGAAGTCAGTGCCGGATCAGCCGGGCTGTGGCTCGTACGTTGGACTGCGTGAGGCCAGCAGTAACAGCCTAGTTGATCAGGCCCTGATCCATCGGGAGGCCTGGTCATGGACCGGGCCGCGGGGGCGTTGATCCCCGGAATAACCTCCAGGTAACACAGGAGACTTCAGTCAAAAATACAGACAGCAGGTGTAGTAGTGAAATGAAGATGTAATCAGTCTATCTACTGTGTCGGGGAATTATTAGGAGACCCCTGGTTGTCTTCAAGAGGGAGCTGGACAGGCGCCTAAAGACGGTTCCTGACCAGCCGGGCTGTGGTTCGTAATGTTCGGTTTGCTTGCAGCCAGCAGTAACAGCCTGATTGATCGGGCCCTGATCCACCGCGAGGCCTGGTCATGGACCGGGCCTCGGGGACGTTGACCCCCTAGAACACCCTCCAGGTATACTCCAGATAATACTTGTTGGACAACCCTGCTAGAGAGGAACTGTACGGCTGAGCGTGTATAGTGAAGCACGTGGCTGGCGAGCGTCAGGTCACCAGCCAACACACACGACTCCAGCACCGCCCATACCAGTCACACGTCGACTGAGTCAACCAATACACCCCATCCCATTTGCCAAGGAACCCGCGACGTCATCGCTGGGGGATATTCCCATTGGTCACAGCATCTGCGACGTAAGCGGAGAGAAAGTTCCCATTCGCTAAAGCATCCGAGACGTCACCGGTGAAAACGTTCCCATTGGCCAAGATGTTTGCTCGCACCCTACACCAGTCTTATAAATACAAGTGATTTCTAACGTCTCGCCAGTAGCTCGGAGATTGTTGGAGGTAATAAGAGTCGATTGTGAGCGTAAGATTTATAGTGAGAGGGAAGTGAGCAATGCCTAGCACGACAGCCAAGCAAGGTGTGGACGCCAAGGCCGCAGCAGCAGAGAGGCGGCGTACCAATAAACCTATCATGGAGAAAAAGAGACGGCAGAGAATTAACGACAGTCTTAACCAGCTCAAGAACTTAGTGTTGGAAGGACTTAAGAAAGACGTAAGTATCTGAAGGGTAGTTCATTCATAGACCTGTAAACCGGTCCTGTAGCCAGGTGTATTTTGACGGTATCTGACGTATTGACAGAGTGAATACAATGTCATAACTATATGGAGTAAATTACCGTCACGAAAACGTATTTATCTAGAGGACACTGCCTCTTCTGGCTAGTAGCTAGTTATTTTAAGTGTCAGGGGAAAGTGCTGCGAAGGTATTCTATTTTGTGTCAGTTTATTTTTATAGGGAGAAGGTGCGATCCACTTCTGGCAAGATTGCTATTGAGTGAATGATGGTGAACGTGTTTCTTCCTTTGAGTCAGCCAAACTTTTTTCTGGGGGGGGGGAGAGATACGCCAATTTACTATAAAAAATCATATCAAACTTGGTCTTAAATAAGGAAGACATTTAGCTCAGAAAATATGACTTATAAATGTATTAATGGCATTATATTTCTAGTATATTCCTTTGATAATTAAACCAGAGCGTTGCATAAAAAAATAAAGCATTAATTCTCTTTTGAAAATATTACACAAATGTAATTAATAAAAGGCACCTTCGTCAGTCCTACTTTGAAAACATTAGAAGAGTGTTATGCGTAAGACTGAGTCACAGTCCCGGGACTGGAACAATTTACAACATTAAAACAGTGAAATTGGACGATGTTTTGGTTCATTAATCCTAATACATGGCACTGCATAAGTAAGTTTTTGGTTAAGCTTTCGACACAAAAAATGCAGTTGCCTTTTACAGGCACATAAGTACATTGTGTAGATTTGTTATAGGATTAGCCAGTAAGTTCAAATGTGATTTACGAATGTAACCAGCCTTAATATGATGCGTAACGATGACTTTCTCATTACAGCCGTCTCGGTACAACAAGCTGGAGAAAGCAGACATTCTGGAGATGACGGTGAGACATGTGCAAGCCTTGCACCGTCACGAGCTGGCCGTCACTCATCAGCCCGTCGATGCGGCTGCCAAGTTTCGCACAGGTTTCGGACAGTGTGCAGCCGAAGTTGGCAAGTTTTTAGAGCGAGACACAACACTAACTGGGTCACAGCGTTCCCGCATACTCCTGCACCTAGCGGAAACCATGGCCAGGCTACGTAACAGTAAGTTAGACACAGCCGAAGTCTCACTCACACTCAACGGCAGTGAATCTCGTCGCTCCCCTCACCCAGCACCCATGGATCCCCTGGTGATCAATGGAGTGTCCTTCGTTCCGACTCCCCTTCTTTCGGGACCAGTGCAGCTCGTCCTGCCTCACGGCGTCGCGGGAACGATAGCCTGCCCTCCTGGACACTTGCATCACGCCCCTCCTTCTCCTCCACCCAGTGCAGGATCTCCATCACTATCCCTCATGTCTTCACCACCTCCATCTCCTGCCAGAAGTCCCTCTCCACAGCCACTTGATCTAGCCCCCATCCGCCATCCCGAGGATGACTCCTGCTGGCGTCCTTGGTGAAGGGAGCTCAAACTGTTCCAGGAAGTGGCCATACAACCTGTTACCAGTTGCATTCACAACACAGCTGCGATCATAACACAGCTGGTGCAATTAAAACCGGAATCCCCTGCAGTGGAACAAATTCACAGTATAGCATCGCCTAACGTACAAGAACCAATCCAGCCACCTGTATTTCTTAGACCCAGTGACCCACCGTCGATCAGACAACAATTGGAGTTTGGCTGTCATGATCTGACAGTCGCCCTCACCCCCAGCACCACAGTACAAACACACGCCCAAGATGTGCACCACGATGGCAATCAGATATCCTTCTACAAACATATGCAAAGTTATTTAAAGTGCTATCCTCAATGGAAAAAAAATATATATGAAAAAAAATCTGTGATATACTTAGGTTTAGTCATCCAGTGATTTAAAACAGTACAAAGTGTAATAAAGTTTTTTATTTGGACGCTGTTTATGTTGATACCTCCGCCTTTTACTGTCTAATAAGGACTATCTTAAGTGGATGTGACTTGGACCTGACTATACACGAACCCGCACATAGACAAGCTTACGACAACGTTTCGGGCCGACTCGTAAATGATCCAGGTCGGATCGAAACGTTGTCGTAAACTCACTCTCTTTCTATGTACGAGTTATTTGTGTATTGTTCCAGTCACGGTATTGTGCCTTCTGGACCTGACTAGCTTGGGCCAGTAGGCCTTCTTCAGTGCTCCTTCTTATGCTCTTACAAATAAAACCAAGATCTTAAAAGTCCCTCCTAGAGATGTACCTTGATACTGGTGTAGGGCTCTTGATAAAAGGAATTGTACCTACCCTGCCCTAGGGTCAAACCTGATAACCTCCCATCCGCCAGGCTCTGTATGAACCCCTATGGGTTTAGCACCTCCTAATGAATAATGTTTATACACATTTTATACATTATATATATATTTATATATTATTATTATATATATATTTATATATATTATATATATATATATATATATATATATTATATAAAAATATGATATGTATATAACATTTCAACAAATAATTTTTTTATCAAAATTAAAATTACTGGGACAATAAACCATTAACATATAAACCAGATGTAAAACATTAACAGATTAAACCATTTCCAGACAGTAATAAACCATTAAAATGCATAAACTATTAAGATTTATAAACCAACAAACCATTAACACACGTAAAACCACTAACAAACAAATCATTTAACCTAAACATACGAATCATTAACGTGTACAGGTCATTTATAAACCACTGACGTTAAACCCCAATAGCACACACAAAACATTTAGACAAACCACCATTGACAAGAGTCCAGAACCTTAATGCTGTTAAGGGGGCTCTTGATCCACGAGAACTGTGCCCATCCTCCCTTTCTGTAGGTCGAACCTGATTGTCTCCCATCTCGCCCCCTCCCTCCCCTCCTTCCTAACGAGGTGTTGTGATCCCTACGGGTTTAGCCTTCACCCCTCACTTAATCTCTTTCATGAAAGCTGATATATTTCTCTTACGGGTTTAGCGCTTCCCCATGATTATAATAATGACATACCTCTCCTCTACCCTTAAAAAATCTGGAAAAAAAACTACCCTCGAAACTGAGAAAGTTCTCCTCTACTAGATCAGAGAACTGTCTCCTTTACCATTAGAGAGGAGAAAACTTTCTACTCCTGGAGTGGAGAAAACTCTCCTCTACCCATAGAAAAAAAAATTCTGCTTTTAAATCAGAGAAAAAACTTCTCTTGAACTCGTAAAGCAGAGAAAACTCTCTTCCACCCTTAAAGCCAAGCTAGCTCGCTCGCTCCCTCTCTAGCTCTCTATCAAAGTTGTGAAAACTCTCTATTGATGAAGGTTGCCTTTAAAAATAAAGTTTTTTTCTTTAAGTTAGATCTGTTGACGATAGGTATGGCTAGGGAGAAGGTAGGAATCTGTTGACGATAGATATGTCTAGGGAGAAGGTAGGAATCTGTTGACGATAGATATGTCTAGGGAGAAGGTAGGAATCTGTTGACGATAGATATGTATAGGGAGAAGGTAGGAATCTGTTGACGATAGATATGGCTAGGGAGAAGGTAGGAATCTGTTGACGATAGATATGGCTAGGGAGAAGGTAGGAATCTGTTGCGATGATAGGTAGGAAAAGGTAGGAATTGTTGACGATAGATATGTATGGAGAAGGTAAGGAATCTGTTAGTGATATTGTATAAAATAGGGCCGTTAAAAATTTTTGGGGGGGTAAATCTTTACATAATCTAGGGGAAAAAATCTTTGACAAGAAGGGGGAAGAAGTAGGAACGGCGATTTTAAAAGGTGGAAACGGACGATAATTTTTGTATAGGGAGAAGGTAGGAATCTGTTGTGTTATAAGTTTTTCCCACGTCGCCCCCCTGAGAAGGTGTAAGTAATGAAAATTTATAGGTCACCTAAAAAAACGATAATCACAACATATAAAAAAAAAAAGATTATTCTAGGAAATAACCTCCAGGTAACTCAGGTACCGGGCTTACGGAACGCCAGAAAATTCCAACCAGTAAACGTGAGAATCCAAAAAAAAAAAAAAAACAGGAAAATATCCGGGGAAAAAAAAAAAGGCCAGATTTTGCTGGTTGTTCACATAAATTAAAATTTTTTTCTTGATTTTTTTTTTTTTTTGAGATTTATTGGAATTTTTTGGGGGGGAAATTTTTTTAATAAAATTTTACGTTTTATTTTTTTCCTAAATCTGATCCAACCTTTCTCACTTATGTATCTGTCCAAGGAATTACTGGACGACCGTTGTGTTTCATGTGCCGCTAAACCCGTGGGGGTTATCCATAGCAAGTGTTGATTGAGGCTCCAACTCTGTCCACTAACTGTGGCCCAGTCTCTGATCAATCCCACTTGTTAATCGACAATTTTTAGATTTCCAAATTTCCAATTGTGCCACAATTCTTGTCCTGGTCAAGGACTGGGTCACGGGGGCGTTGACTCCCGAAATATCCTCCAGGTAAGTAGACGGGGAAGCGCTAAGCCTTAATTAAAGGTCATATAACTCCCAGGGAATGGGAAGTAATCAGGTACCCGAACCTCTCCTCTCTTGTGCACCCAAGCAGTCCTTGGTCGAGTCACCCGCTACAGATATATTTTAACTTAAATTGACATCGGGCGCTGTGGTGGTCGTGTACTAGTTGTTCAGAGTCCTTGGAACGAGAGTTCTTCACCAGCATCGTGGGTCTGACAGTGTGAATTTTAGAGAAAAGACTTCCGGCAGAGAGGCTGACAAGCGGGTGTTGGGGGAGAAAAAAGCCCCAACATAAGGATTCTCAATGGTAGACCACAAGAAGAGAGGAAACTGAAGACGAGATCAAGAATGGTGAGGGAAAAAAAAAGGCTTTCATGGGTTTGCCAGAAGGTTTCGGGATCTGATGAAGCCTGTCAAGAGATTTTACACACACACACACACACACACACACACACACACACACATACATCCATCTCCGGAATCTACCTAATAAACAATTTTTTTTTATAGTGGATAGTGAATTGGTAGATCATAAGAATAAGTTTACCATCAAGTGAAACATTTAAGTCAACAAAGTGAAGACGGTGATGGCCGAGATTCGTTTAGGTTACCTGTGTATGAGGCAGGTCGGTGTAATTCCTCAAAGTATACTTTGGATATACCCTTGGTGGGTTTCGAGAGTTTTTCTACTCCCGCAGCCGGGTCCTAGTGCTTGCCCTGTTAACATGGCTGTTGCTGCTGGCGGCCCACTGGCCCACACACCCATGAAGACAATATAAAGTGTGTGGAAAGGAAGACAAACACTCCAGATTAAGTTAATACTAAGGATATGTTTGAGCATTTAAGGACATCTTTGCTAAAGAATAAAAGGCTCAGTACAGTGACAGGAACAATACACAAATAACCACCACAGGCTCGTCACCAAACGAGCCTGGCCCATGGCCGGGCTCAGAGTAGAGAAACTCTCGAAACTCTTCAAAGGTATATAGAGTACCTCATATATGAGGGTCATCTGTACGTTACTAGGATTGTTACCATTATACAAAACTATGCAGAATTTTCTCCAATTAGATAATGATAATTTGTAAATTGGCCATTTTATGTACAGACGCAGACTTGTAAAAGAACTATAATATAGACACGATAATATCGTGTCAACTATATGTGCAGCTTCAATGGCGACATGTTGACTCTTAGGATACTTGGAGGAGTATACTTGGAGGGTATTCCGGGGGTCGACACCCCCGCGGCCCGGTCCATGACCAGGCACTGCAAAATAAACTTGTCTCTGGAGTTTACTCAGGGTATATTCTAAAAATAGTCTGATTTAGGATGAAATACCACTACAGGTCATTATCTGAATTACACCCGTGTCAGAAAACACCAGCCATCAACAGCTAATACCACCACCACCCATTAAACGACAGACTCATGGCATGGTTGTCGCAATTTCTGGTATGTTTGGGGGTACTGGGTGTAGCCAAGCGAGGCCCCATGTTCACCGCCCCATGTCGTACACAGCCAAAGAACGTCTTGTGGACCACTGTACTCCTAGTTTTATCGAGGGAATGCGTGCTAGTTCTCATGTCCTCGCATGAGAGTCCGGGCGTGCGTGGGTCACAGCAAGCGGGCAAGCGTATCAGCAGTGCGAGCGTGCGTACAGGCGGCGTGAGCGAGTGTAAAGTGGCGCGTTCGTGCGTACATGGGGCGCACGCGTGCATGTAAGGAACCCCCACGTGCGTATAAGCGGCGCATGAGCGTACAAGCGACATCCTAGTGACTACAAAGGGCGCGCATGCATGCGCGTGAAAGATGCGTGTGTGCATACTTAACCAGAATCTCTTACCTGTACATTTACATCACACAAGAACAACAAACACTGGTCCAGCTGCTGTCATGTACAGACAATTCAACATTATCAAACATTATTATCTAACATCAGAAAATCCTAAACATTTCTCTAAAATTTTCCTAAACATGTTACAAAACGCTTAGATGCTACAAATGCGCTTAAACGATTCATGAATGTTAGTATTAGTTCTACTTTTTAAGATGTAGTATAAACGTTATGAAGTATTTCTTCAGTCACAGAATTGTCAGAAGTGGAATAGTCTGGGAAGTGATGTAGTGGAGACAGGATCCATATATAGCTTTAAGAAGAGGTATGATAAAGCTCATGGGGCAGGAAGTAACCTAGTAGTGACCAGTGAAGAGGCGTGGCCAGGAGCTGTGACTCTACTCCTGCACCCACAACTAGGTGAGTACACCTGACAGTTTCCTCCCTGTGAGACACAACACGGCTGCTGAAGATTCAAACACTTGTGGAACATCTGGGTATTTTTATTTGTAACGTTTTGCCAACTAGTGGCTTTATCAATACAAGGGAATAATGTGAGAATGTAGAATTATATACAAAAGATGAGCTAATCAGTCCCTCAGTC